TTTTTGGAAATTCCATTTTTTTTAAAACTTATTTATTGAAATGAGATCAATAGGTTAATGATATCTTTACGATAATACAATGATTTTTGCAACAGAATGATTTTTCATTTATTTTTCACTCATACTAGAATTTTACAATACGATACCGTAATCACTCCAATAATAATTACCGTATATAATTACAGTTTGACTACGATTTGATCACAATAATATAACAGTGAAATTCTAATCTGATATCATTCTAATTTTCGTTTATAGTCTCGGAACATCTCAAACCAATAATATTCATATGAAATGTGCGAATAAAATTGACGTGAGCATTTTTTCCATTCAGAAAACCACAATCTCCCACAACGTGTGTTCGCTTTGGAAGGCTTAAAGGAGTTGAAGGATTCAATGAATGAGCTGAAAGTGAAATTGTTGTGTGTGAAAGAGAAAAATTACACGGAAACACTGAAAGAGGTGCATAAATTGACGGATAATGCGTGTGAAGTGGTCATCGATGCGGCCTATTTGAGAAACGATCGAGATTTCGAGGACTCTCTAAATGATCAATTGATTAAATCGTGCAGAAGACTGACCCGTGTTGAAGCGAATGTTTCTGTTCCAGTTAATGTTCGTAGTTATTTATTCATTCATTTTTCCAATTTTACTATTACATATTTGTTTTTCTAAATTTTCCCACAAACGAACCACCAAAAATATCCTATGTTCGGGATTTGAAATTGGAGGAATTTATATCAGTCACCAGAAATTTTCATTCGCATGGATTTATCACCGATTCAACTGATCAAAATTGTAGGACTCAAGTTTCTTTTGTAAAAAAAACAACAAAAATAAGTCTTCCATAATCCATTTTGAAGTGTTCGCTCATAATTTTATTGCTGCTATCGCTTCATTCACTCAACTAATTCTTCAGGTGTCGAGTAATCAACAGGAATTTGGCGCAAGAACATTGCGTCCAAAAGTATGGCAGTATGTGAAGGCAATGATGAAGGAGAAATGGGAAGACGTACCAACAGAGCCATGCAAAGACTGGAAGAAGTCTGTTTTATGCTATAGAAATCGTTTTTCACATGAAGAATAGTTTGATGTGAAGAGTCCGTTCGGGTTGACCAGAAACTGTAAGAATCACGATTGGTTCCTACAAAAAAAAAACTGAATCAAAAATTAAGAAATTCAGAGCACAGTTCATGAATTCATTCGAATGAAATTCGATAAAATCAAGCGTGGAAAAATGTTACCGAAGAAAAAATACTCTCCAAAAATGGATGGAAATTTCACACAAATCGACGCAACGACGAACATTCGATTTCCATGTTGTGAAATTGTTTTTTAAGACTCGTAAAAGCTGACGATTTGAAAGAAATGGATTTGGAAGCTGAACTAAAGAAAGCCGAAAGCGAGTGTAAATCGGATAGCGGTCTAACGGGTGGTGAGAAGGCAGCAAAGAAAATGCTGGACTTCTTCATTACAAATCGACTGGTCAATTATCATCCTGGAAGGTTGTTGTTTTCATTTACTGAATTGTTGTTCATCATTTTAAATCATTGTTCGAATCTCTCAACTTATATTTGTTTTCGAATTTTTCCATTTTAAAAACAATTCTCATTCGTTCCCGTGAGTGTATTTTCTTTTGTTTTCAAACAACCCCACAGATTTATATGAAATCACTTTTATGGATTGATTAATAAATTTTGCAAAGTAAGAATCAAATTCTCGTTTCCGTATTGCTCATATACCCTGAAAGTGAGTCTTTCTGGTTTTTTAGTGTGTTCCTACTCGGCACATGTCGTCGTCTGGAAACATTTCAGTAAATTTCATTGAGTGTAGAAGGTTATCGAATTTATACAATTGATGTAGGAATTTTTATACGGCATTTCAGGAATGTTCCCGGTAGCAAATATCAGAGTGTATTGTCGCCATATCTGCATTTTGGGATGCTCAGCACAATAGAAACTATTAAACGTGCTAAAGAAGGCAAAGCAGCAAAACACCCGATAGGTTTGTGACACAAACATAAATATTTCCATTGTAATGAATTTAATTACAAATGTAAATTCTTCATGTTTACAATGGTTGGTGCATAAAAGTATCTGATTCAGTTGTCAATGATCAATTTTATTTCAGATTCCTTCATTGAGGAATTACTGGTGAGACGTGATCTGGCGCATAATTTCGTGTATTACGCTCGTAAGAACTATGATTCGGTGATTTTCGTGATGTTCATTGATTTTATTTGCTGTTTTTCTTCCCAAAGTACTGTCAGTATTCATATTAGGAAGGGCGCCGATCTAAAGTGAAACTGGCAATATGAAATACAACCGGCCATATGAAATGCGCTCTGAAGAAATTCTCTCTCTGAAGGATTGCGTAGAATAATTTTTGCGCTATTGTAAACTCCTAGTGGAAAATTGGAAAGAATAGAAAAGAATTTTGGTTTTTACGTTCTAGAGTTTTAGAATAAGCAGTCATTAGTATCAGAATAGTGACGTATTGAAGTAATAGCTTGATGAAGTGTTTGAATGTTTGAATAAGTGATGATATTTCAGTTGGATAGCTTGCCGGATTGGGCGAAGAAAACGTTGAAAGAGCATAAGAATGATAAACGTGAATATGTGTACAGTTATGAGGAACTGGAGAATGCGAAAACTCACGATGTCTATTGGAATGCAGCACAATTGGAAATGATTCATACCAATAAGGTTATCCTTATAGTTAATATTCCATTTTATATTTACTTCATGATTATATTAATCTATTCTAATTGTAACGGTTATGGATAATTCCTCGGAACTAGTGATTTGCATTAGAAGGGGGAGTGTTAGTAATCACTGGAATTTTGAGAGCTGATCATCATTTGTGGAGCGAATTATGCTCTGTTGTAAAGCGGTGAAAATGATCCGTGCCCATTGATAGTGAGAAAACTTCACACGCTTTAAGATCTGTAACTGTTAGCCGTCAACATAGGAAAGGCTGTCCTAATATCATCAACTCTGTGATTAATTAGAAACCTTTATTATCACTCAAATTCAGATTATTCAGTCACAAGCAAATATTATTTGATTTGTTGTGACAAAAATAAAGTGTTCATTTCCTACGGTATTATTACAGTGATAGCGATAACATTGACTATTATTTTCATTGTCAGATGCATGGTTATATGCGGATGTATTGGGGTAAAAAAGTTATCGAATGGACACCAGACTATGAGACAGCGTATAAATTCTTGATCGAACAAAACGATAAATATGAATTGGATGGACGTGATCCGAATGGTTACACGGGTGTGATGTGGAATTTTGGATTGCATGATCGAGCGCATGCGGTAATTCATGTTTTCCTTGCTTTGATTTGCACATTTTGAGAAGCATATTCAAGTAGACAAGGTGGAAACCGAAAATATAATTTCGCTCATATTCAATATCTTATTACATTTATGCCATTGTGTTCCATTTGCATTTAAAAACGTAA